CAAATCTTGCGGGGGGGAGGATTTGCTGTGTGTTCTCTTCGGAAGCAGAGAAGCATCAGGTCAGAAAACTCCTTCTCCTATAAACCATCCTAAAAGTCTCTCATATTACAAAAATTGTAAGTAAAAGCCAGGCAAGGCGTAATAGATTATCTTTTGTTTTTTGCTTGTGAATTTTTCCTTTCCTGGAGGGAGGTTTATTCCTGTTTTTTGTAACTTTGAAACTAAGCCAAGAGGAAGTTCTGCTGTGTGTTTGAATCTTTTGTTACCCTGTAAAGTTAGTTTCCATCCTGATTTCACAGAGGTGATTTTTACCTTTTTTTTTAAAAAAATAAAATCCTTCTTTTAAGAACCTTACTGACTTCTCTATTGTCCTAAGACCCAGGGGTTTGGGTCTGTGATCACTTTGTAACCAATTGGTTAGGATATTATTCTCAAGCCTCCCCAGGAGAGGGGGTATAAGGGCTTGGGGGGATATTTTGGGGTAATAGGAACTCCAAGTGGTCCTTTCCCTGATTCTTTGTTAAATCACTTGGTGGTGGCAGTGTACTGTCCAAGGACAAAGAATTTGTGCCTTGGGGAAATTTTAACCTAAGCTGGTAAGAATAAGCTTAGGGGGGTCTTTCATGCGGGTCCCCACATCTGTACCCTAGAGTTCAGAGTGGGGAGGGAACCCTGACAGCCCTATAATCCCATTTATATTGGGAAGAAAAACATGGAGCCCTATAATGCCATTTTTAGCAGCTTTTAGAATCGTGTTTCAACTGCTGAAAAGCCTTTTGATCATTAGATGTGCTGTCTTGTTTCTATCCATAACTAACTAAAGTTGCATTTATTCAGTTCCTTCTGGAAGAGACTTAAAACTGTAGAAACCTGAAGAATATTTGGATTACCACTCTGTGTCTGCGCAAGAATTTGCTATTTGGCGAAGAGGTGTTCACATTCTTTCAGATGACTACCAGTGACTAGTGTGTTGGGACACTATTGCAGTAGTATATTTGCACTGATGAGTCCTTAAGTGTATTTATTAGAAATAACGTTTTAGAAGAGTCTTTAACTTTGTTGTAAAACTTTTTATGGTTTGAATTAGACATATAATGGCAAGTGCTGGTTTATGTTCCTATTGTTCCTATTGGGCAAGAGGAATCAGTCTGTTTAAATGTGTCTGGAAAGTTTAGAAAACCTGGATTACATGGATTTATTGTTAAAGGGTCTAACTAAAACCCACAGAAGGTTTTGAGGTCTAAAAAATCTGCCTTCAGTGAGATTAAAGAACAATAATCTGTTTAGTTTATCCAAGAGAAGGTTAAGAGTTGACTTGATCATGGTCTGAGTGCCTGTACAGAGGGAGGAGCTCTGAGAGTAGAGGGCTCTTTAATCTATCAGACAAAGGCATAACAAATTTGAATAGCTGGAAACTGAAGCTTGACAAATTCAGGCTTAGAAGTAAGGTGCACATTTTTAACAGTGGAGGATAATTAACCTTTGGTAATTAACCAATTTACCATGGTATGTGGTGCATTCTCTGTCACTTGAAGCCTTTACATCAAGACTGGCTATCTTTCTAAAATATGGTTTCAGAGGAACAGCCGTGTTAGTCTGTATTCGCAAAAAGAAAAGGAGTACTTGTGGCACCTTAGAGACTAACCAATTTATTTGAGCATGAGCTCACGAAAGCTCATGCTCAAATAAATTGGTTAGTCTCTAAGGTGCCACAAGTACTCCTTTTCTTTTTTCTAAAATATATTCTCTAGCTCAGTCAGAAGTTAATGGATTTGATGCAGGAATTCCTGGGTGAAATTATATGGCCTGTGTTGCAAGAGGACAGATTAAATGATTACTTTGATTGCTTCTGACCATAAAATCTATGAAAAGCAAGGACATTCTGAGATAAGAACCAGAATCCACTCCAAGTGTGGAAGGGCTTTAAGACAAGTGGCTGCTGTCACTTGCCTTACTTTTTTATTTCTTATGCCCAAAATGCTGAAATTTGAGTCTGACACCTGTTAATGTTTTCAGGTTTTAGGCAGATCTCTAATATTAAACGATGAGCTACTGCTCAGTATTTCATCAGAATAGGCATTGGGATAAGGGTGAAACTATGCTGTTGAAAGATAGAGAATGGAGAGTTTGGTTGAAGTTTACAGTGGAATTGTATGTGCTATATACTATTTTGTAATCTATGAACTTGCATGTCATGCACATGTGTACACATAACAAGGAATAGGGTGAAGGATCCAAGTGTATGTTGAAAGTGGGTATTACATACAAACGAACATAAGAACAGCCATACTGAGTCAGATCAGTGGTTCATCTATCCCAGTATTCTGTCTTCCAACAGTGGCCAGTGCCAAGTGCTTCAGAGGGAATGAACAGAACAGGGCAATTGTTGAATGATCCATCCCCTGTTGTCCACTCCCAGCTTTTGGCAGTCAGATGCTAAGGACACCCAGAATATGGGATTACATCCTCGACTATCGTGGCTAATAGCCATGATGGACCTTTCTTCTGTGAACTTGTCTAATTCTTTTTTTAACCCAGTTATAGTTTTGGCCTTCACAAAATCCCCTGGCGATGAGTTCCACAAGTTGACTGTGCATTGTGTGAAGAAGCACTTCTTTTTTTGTTCTTGTTTTGTTTGGGGTTTTTTTGTTTCGTTTGTTTTAAATGTGCTGCCCATAATTTCATTGGGTGATGCCTGGTTTGTATGTTATGTGAAGGCATAAATAACATTTCCTTATTCGCTTTCTCCACAGCATTCATGATTTTTATATGCTCTTTCATACCACCCCTCATACCACGTCTCTCTTCCAAGCTGAACGGTCCTAGTCTTTTTACTCTCTCCTCATGCGGAAGCCATTCCATCCCCTTCATCATTTTTGTTGCCCTTATCTGTCCCTTTCCCAGTTCTAATATTTCTTTTTTAAGATGGGGTGACCAGAACTGCACACAGTATTCAAGGTGTATTCAGTGGCATTATGATGTTTTCTGTCATCTTATCTATCCCATTCCTAGTGTTTAACATCCTGTTAAGGTTTTTTGATTGCCACTGCACATTGAGCAGACATTTTCAGAGAACTCTCCACAATGACTCCAAGATCTTTCTTGATTGGTAACAGCTCATTTAGATCCCATCAGTTTATATGTATGGTTGGGATTATGTTTTCCAATGTGCATTACTTTACATTTATCAACATTGAATTTCATCTGCCATTTTGTTGCCCAGTCACCCAGTTTTGTGAGCTCCCTTTGTAACTCTTCGCAATCTGCTTTGGACTTAACTTTCCTGAGTGATTTTGTCTTGTCTGTAAATTTTGCCATCTGTTGCCTCATCTTAGATTATGTATTAATTATATTGATTACTTACGAATCCCCAGTTATCACTTTGAGGGTTGACAGGTTCTTGTCCCAAGATCAGGCCCAGTATTATTTAAATTATTATATAGTTGCGAACCCTGATGTGCATAGCTGTAACACTCACACTATAGGTTTCACACTATAGGAACTCTTTTATATTTACAAATATAGTTTAATACATTTAGCACAGTCACAAACACTCCAACTTAGTAAGATAGATAGAGATACGACAGAATGTACATCTGCACATCAATATACTCTCACCATCTTCTGTAGAACAACCTGAAATGTCAGCCATCATCTTCCTCATCACCATCACCTTCCCTATCATCACCAGTTCCCCTCATTCTGGCACTTCCCAAGGACTGCATCTCTGTCTTCTACCACCCCCAGGCTGGGATGCCACTTTTATAATACGTTACACTGACGCCTCTATGTTTGATGCATATTCAGTAGGGGATTTTTCCCCTTTTCCTTATTTGTATTTCCTCACCTTACTAATGTTGGAGTGTCTTCTTCCTATAGGTTAGTATATCAATGATCTCAATTTCTTATTATATACATCAGTTCATTACCATGGCCCTTTTGTGGTTAGGTATCACATTTTTATTTCTGTCCTAACCAGTCATTTTGATTCTTTCCAACTTGTGGTACCTGTTAAGTTTAAAAGGGTATGAATTTAGGAAAGCCCTTATGCCAACCTGCTTCAATGCATCCTGTATCTAGCTATTGCAAAGGTCGCAGCCACATATGGACCTTATGCTTTATTTCATCACCATCTCTAGTTGAAAGGTCTCAAACATATGTATGCTAACTTTGTCCTAGCTTAACATACAAAATGTGGCTTGTAGGTCCCTTGTGTTACAGCCAAAATATAAACCTATTATAATAAAACTAATAAAACCCATAAACTTATAAGAAAAGTCTGTTTGTTTGTTTGTTTTATTTATATTTATAGAGATATAGGCAAGCAAGCAGGCTAGCATTAGATGTATCTTATGTACTGGTTATGTACATCAGTTCGTTTCCAGGACACTTCTGTAGTTGAATCATGTACCCATGGTCAGAACTTCTCCTTAAACACTATTTTCAGCTCCCTAAATACTTGGGGTTTTTCGCTGGGTCGTTTATCTGTTCAAAGTTTGTAGGCCTCAAGCCTTATGCTAACCTGTTGAAGCTCATGTCTTACAGGATACAGGCCTGTAGATTTCTTGCATTACTGCTGAAAATAATGCAAAGCAGAATATAATGCAAAACAATGAATATAATAAAGGCAAGCTATCCCACTGGGCTACATGCCTCACTCTTTACCCATTTTTCCAGATCATTTATGAATATGTTGAACAGCACTGGTTCCTGTCCAGATTCCTGGGGGACACCACTATTTACCTCTCTCCATTGTGAAAACTGACCATTTATTCCTACCCTTTCCAGTGATTGTTGACAATGCTCTGTATGTTTTATCTTGGCACATGCTTCTAGACAAAACAGTTGACGCTATTTAGTAATTTTAAAAAATGAAATGGAATCTGATACGTGCCTTTAGCTTAACGGCACAAGCAAATTGCCTTCAAAGCAATATTTTGCCTCCATGGAAGAATTTTGCCTCTATGGAAGAATTTTCACGTCTTTCTTGTTGTCTGCAGGTATTGGGAAGAATGTGATCTGTGAGAAATCTGCTACCTCTGTGGATGCCTTCAGAATGGTTACAGCTGCCAGATATTACCCCAAGCTGATGAGCATTGTTGGTAATGTCCTCCGTTTCTTACCTGCCTTTGTCAAAATGAAGCAGTTAATAGAAGAACACTACATAGGCAATGTGATGATCTGTGATGTGCGAGTGTACTGGGGAAGCCTGCTCAACCACAAGTACAACTGGATCTGTGATGAGTTAATGGGAGGAGGTGGACTGCACACAATGGGCACCTATATTATAGACCTCTTAACTCATCTAACCAGCAGGAAGGCAGAGAAGGTCCATGGCTTGCTTAAGACTTTTGTGAAGCAGAACGCAGCTATCAGTGGAATCCGTCATGTCACTAGTGATGACTTTTGCTTTTTTCAGATGCTTATGACTGGAGGTGTCTGTAGCACTGTGACTCTCAACTTTAACATGCCTGGGTCATTTGTTCACGAAGTCATGATTGTTGGGTCCACAGGTCGTCTTATCGCTCGTGGGACAGACTTGTATGGGCAGAAGAATACAGCACTCCAAGAGGAACTACTGCTTACAGATTCTCTGACCATCAACACTGGCCTTCTGGACAAGGGATTTAAAGACATCCCCTTGCTGTACCTGAAAGGAATGGTGTACATGGTGCAAGCATTGAGACTGTCTTTCCAAGACCAGGAAGACCGTCGGACATGGGATCACAAACCAGTCTCCATGGCAGCCTCTTTTGAAGATGGTCTCTATATGCAAAGTGTAGTAGATGCCATTAAAAAATCCAGCAGGTCTGGGGAGTGGGAAGCTGTGGAAGTGATGACTGAGGAACCAGATGCCAATCAAAACCTTTGTGAGGCACTTCAAAGAAATAACCTATAAAATATAAACATTCCTGGTGTCCATTATGGAAGATGAGAACAGTTGAAGATGTCCAGACGTAGCTATAGAAGTTTCTCAGTTTTTAGGACATGTAGGTTCTTATTTAATACTTTTTGTTTTTTCATACTTGTGGGTAAAACATGCCATAGTCTGATGAAACTGTTCCTTCCTGGGCAGATTCTTTTGTTTTTAAACTCGTTTGGAGAGTTTTAAATGTTTTTGGGTTTTGGTGGGGTTTTTACTTTGTTTTTTAAAGCTGAATTTCTGTTTTGGAGATTGTTAGGAAAACTTGAATTGCCCTTTGCACTTGCAGTAGCTAAAATGAAGTGAGGGATCTTTTGTTGTTGGATTGTTGGGGGACAGGACACAGTCCCTCTTGCACATAGTTCAGTTATTTTTACAATTTTAATCTGAGAGCAAGTAGAGCAAGATCAGGGAGTATGTACAGCTCAGCTGTTCTTGCTCTCTCTACTAGGACTTTCACTGACATTTTTTAGGTTTATTCTTCAGCTTGTAAAACTTTATTAAAGAAAAGTGTAATGATATGGCAAATCTCTAAACTCAAGTGTTAAGAAGAGTAGAAGGGACAGAGCCAAGTCTGTAAGATATAGATCAGGCTTAGTGTTCTGCACATAGTGAGTGTGCTGAATGTTTCAAATTAATTTAAATTGGTGTCTAATTACCCCATGGATTCTCCATTGACATTATTGAGAGAGTCTCTGCCGCAAACATTGGACGAGTTAGAATGCTAGGATGAGTTCAGCTGCTGTTTCATCTGTGTGGCTGTTGGTCCTCCATAGTAAATACTTAGGAGACTAATACCTCACGTCAACTTTTTCCTGCTACTTCCCTCCCCCAGGCCAATTGTGATTTGTGTTCACTGCCTTGGCAGCATGTGTGCCAGATCTACATCAGTGTTTCCAGTCCTATGTGACATAATAAAACCCCCAGTAGCTTGCCAGGTGGTGCATCTGGGTTCCGTAATGTGCTATCTGTTTGATAATGAGACTGGAAGACATTAAGCCTTCTAGGAACTTGAACCTGGATGAAAAAGTAGGAAATATGCCATTACCATACTCTTCTGTGCCAGCAAGGGAATCACTAGAATACACAGGCCCTGCTAGGTAAAGAAAACGGTGACTGAATCATTAGGGCAGTGACGGCCTTTGGTTTGGGTGAGCCTGTTTTAAATCATGAACACTGGATAATATTACCCCTCCACATACACACACCTTATAATTTTATACCCAGTGGGGAAAATTTGTGCTGCTTGCAGATCTTGAATGAATTTCCACTCCATCCCAGAAGTATGTTTGTTCATTAGGCTGTCATGGAAAAGGAGAGAATTTTTATTGAGTTTATCTTGTTTACTTGAATGTTTTAATGTTTCCCACTAAGTTTTAACCCTGTATATTTATATAAAGCATTAACATGCAAACATAACCTTTTCATTAAATGGTCCTTTCTAAAAAGTGTGTCACTTGTTTTCTACAGCAATAAACATTTAAGTTGGCTGAGGACAAACTTTCATAGAGCTGATTATTCTTTAGACAAACTGAAAAGTCCCCTAAAAAGGTCACCAGGAGATCATTATTTTTCTGTTACTGGCGCAAACCTCTCCTTTGTAACTTGTAGAACCATTAGTATCTGTTCATTGCGACAGTCCACAGAGATCGGGCTAGTTGCTGTCTGAGGAATTCCCTTATTTTGGTGCTGCTTTGTTCTCCGGTGAGACTAGGATGTGAAAAGGGGAAAGGTACTCCTTACCCCTTTTGCTGACTATTTCTCATCCTCAAGCTGTTGCATTACAAGGTCATGGGTGTATATGAGTTAGAGACCATGGTATATAGCAGAGGTTCTCAATCTTTTTCCTTCTGAGGCCCCCACAACATGCTATAAAACTCCACGGCCCACCTGTGCCACAATAACTGGTTTTCTGCATATAAAAGCTAGGGCCGGCATTAGGGGGTAGCAAGCAGGGCAGTTGCTTGGGGCTTCATGCCACAGGGGCCCCCATGAAGCTACATTGCTCAGGCTTCAGTCCCAGGTGGTGGGGCTCAGGGATCTGGGCTTCAGCTTTCTGCCCTGGGCCCCAGCAAGTCTAATGCTGGCCCTGCTTGAGGTCCCCTAGGGGGCCCCGGACCCCTGGTTGAGAACCACTGGTATATAGAATTTCAGTCTCCAACTCCTGTTTCCCTGCCCCTCCCTCACTCCTGGTTGGGGATTACCTGCTTTCACTTGCCATTTCATACAGGCTACAGAGCCAGTGAGCAGCTGGCTGAGATGATTGGGCTGTTCCTGGTGTACTTCATATGTCTTCCCTTGTAATTAACGGGTTCTCTGCTTTGTGTGGCTACCTGTATGCGGGTTTTGGTGTAGGAATACCTGAGAAGCAAGATCCCAGCATTCCTGGTACAAATTGAATACTTGGTTTAGTTTATAAATGTAAATAGTCCTCCATTCTCTTGGCACACTAAATGTCTGCCGGAGACAGGTCTAGCATAATGGCATTTTAGAGGGAAGAAGAACTGCTTCTCTGTGCTACTGACAATATCCAGCATGACCTGCCCTGTCATTGGGAATCTTGCCACAGGATTTTTCGCTCCTTTGTAGACACTTAATGTGTGGTGGTATATTGAGAGCCACCCAACTGGTCTGCTAATTACACAGAAAAGACCCCTTGGAGTGCAAGGCAGAGCTAGGACCTGTCTACACACCAATTTACTGTATTTATCACATTAGCCATACAGTTCTCTGGGATTTTCACTATCCTTTAGCAGTGTCCACACGGGATGTTAACTGGGCAGCAAGCTGGTGCACAGTAGATCCACACACCCTGGCTTGCCATGCAGGGTCTTGCCTTGTAGACAAATCCATAGTTATGGAAACAAGCCTGGCTTTATTAATAAATGCACTTTTCTTTCTCTCCACACTGAACCACCTCTCCCCCTTGTTAAAGTTTGGTACTTTGTTTTTTGTAGGATTAAGACAGAAGTGACTTAGATACACTAAAAATAGATCAATACTAGAATCCATTTATATAGCCTGTCAGGTTCCAAATAAATCAAAAAGAAATGGAAAACAACCAAGCTTTGGTCTTCGGGGAAGTCTGTTTTCATTTAGGGAGAAACTTCATTCTAACTAGATGAAACAATGGAAGTAGAGAAGACCATTGGCTGTTTCACCTTGTTTTATACTGTGTATTGATGCTGGTCTTTTCTCATCTGCTGAGTCTTCAATTTATTTAAAGTTATCTTTATTATGTAAGTAAACCATAACCACAGCTGTATCCTTGAACATACAAGTGTTACTTCATTGTCTAGTGATGTGTAATTGAACCACCAGAATACACATCCTATATAATTTCTGGCTGCATTAGCTGTGTTCTGCTCTACTCCCTAATTAATGTGCTGTTCACCTCAATGCAATCAACAAGTGGAACAGGGGCAGAGTGCCACATCCATCTTTTGTGAAAACTTAATTTTGTATTTAAACTCAGAATAATAGAAGAAAACCATTAATTAACTGGTGCTAATTGAAGTCCTTCTATTTCCAGGGTAAGCTGAAAGAACTCAACCATATGTCAAGCAGGCTGCTTCAACCTGTCTGTTCCCCTCCATTCAAGCTTAGCCAAAAGTCCAGTGCGGAGATAGGAAGAGGAAAGAAAAGGGGCTATGGGTGAGGGGAGAGAAGAGATTATCTAATACCTAATGTGCTTTTATTTTATTTATGTCTCAACATTATTTTAGAAGCTGATATTTTGTTACAAAAGAAATACTGTATGTTGCAGGGGAATAGGAAAACTAAAGAATGCCATTGTTTCCAGGAAAGTCTGACACATTCTGTAACAGGAAATATATTGTGACCAGGTACTGCCTAAAATTAATTACAAGTACAGAAATAGTTAAAACTACAATGAGCCTCTTTAAATGACAGGGGGGGTTTTGACCTGTGGTTAGGTTTGGTAGAATTTGGTTTTTAATTTTTTGATAATTTCTACAGTATTTTTAAAGAATTCTGTCCATTTCTATCAGACAGTGGGGAGGTGGGTCAGATAATTATTGAACAGCTATAGATACTGAGATTCAAAAACACAAATTGTCAATATCACATGTCAAAATATACAAAGTAAATAACCTGAAATCAAACTTGAATAAGTTCTCAAGCAGTATTTTTCTGACTTTGCCTATCTGTAAATTTCAATTATATCAATGGAAATATTTTTTGTCGGTTTCCATGTAAAGTAAAATCAATGTTTGATGTTCGCCACCTAAAGATCTAATCATAACAGGCGTACCTTTGGTACCGTATTGCTATGCAGAGCAATAGGTTTCTAAGGGCTGTGTTAGCCAGCCTAGTAAAGCTTTATCATATTTAAAACCATCCTAGTTGTGAAGTTTTACCCTTTAGTTCTGGCTGTGTGCGGTATAGCCAAGTTTCATAACTCCACTCCAGTTGATTCCGAATATGTACCCTATAGCAATGAACTACAGAATGACTAAGTTGTCTTTTAAGTCCTGGGTATTGCTGTTATACAGTGACCTCTACTGGAGGGAAGGGAGAGGATGTTTACAGGTTTTAAAACAGGTTATCCTTATTGGTGGTGGTTTGAACACTTCTCATTCAGATTTGGAGTTGGCAGCTGTCTCTCTGGCAGAGTTTCACCAGCTCTGAGTTTGGCACCTGTCAGGGTTCCTTCCCCACTCTGAACTCTAGGGTACGGATGTGGGGACCTGCATGAAAGACCCCCCTAAGCTGATTCTTACCAGCTTTGGTTAAAAACTTCCCCAAGGTACGAACTTTGCCTTCGCCTTGAACAGTATGCTGCCACCACCAAGCGTTTTAAGGCCATCTGTCTATCATGCTCTTTTTGCTTCTCTTCAGCTTTGATTCTGGCTTGCTCTAGTTTATTAGCTGCTTCACTGGTAGTCATTTTCCTGCTTTCTTGTGCTTAACTCTAGCTATACCTGAAAGTTCAGGGGAGGGAGACTTGTGAATTTCCCTGCAGGAAGTTAACTACCCTGCCTTTAGATAGAGAAAACTCCAGCTCAAAAAAGAAAAATCCCTTTGTAAAAAAACTAACACCTCTGTCTCCAGGCAAATAGAAAACCCTCTAGCTGCTCTCAACTTAAAAAAAAAAAACCTCTTCAGGTCTGTGCTTTTGGTTCAGAATGATCTCTGGTTCAAAGTGATCCCACTGCTCTGCCACCATGTCAGGGTTCCTTCCCCACTCTGAACTCTAGGGTACGGATGTGGGGACCCTAGAGTTGCGAAGGCAAAGTTCGTACCTTGGGGATAGGATACAGAAGGACCTAGACAAATTGGAGGATTGGGCCAAAAGAAATCTGATGAGGTTCAATAAGGATAAGTGCAGGGTCCTGCACTTAGGACGGAAGAACCCAATGCACCGCTACAGACTAGGGGCCGAATGGCTAGGCAGCAGTTCTGCGGAAAAGGACCTAGGGGTGACAGTGGATGAGAAGTTGGATATGAGTCAGCAATGTGCCCTTGTTGCCAAGAAGGCCAATGGCATTTTGGGATGTATAAGTAGGGGCATAGCGAGCAGATCGAGGGACGTGATCGTTCCCCTCTATTCGACATTGGTGAGGCCTCATCTGGAGTACTGTGTCCAGTTTTGGGCCCCACACTACAAGAAGGATGTGGATAAATTGGAGAGAGTCCAGCGAAGGGCAACAAAAATGATTAGGGGTCTGGAACACATGACTTATGAGGAGAGGCTGAGGGAACTGGGATTGTTTAGTCTGCAGAAGAGAAGAATGAGGGGGGATTTGATAGCTGCTTTCAACTACCTGAAAGGGGGTTCCAAAGAGGATGACTCTAGACTGTTCTCAATGGTAGCAGATGACAGAACGAGGAGTAATGGTCTCAAGTTGCAGTGGGGGAGGTTTAGATTGGATATTAGGAAAAACTTTTTCACTAAGAGGGTGGTGAAACACTGGAATGCATTACCTAGGGAGGTGGTAGAATCTCCTTCCTTAGAGGTTTTTAAGGTCAGGCTTGACAAAGCCCTGGCTGGGATGATTTAACTGGGATTTGGTCCTGCTTCGAGCAGGGGGTTGGACTAGATGACCTTCTGGGGTCCCTTCCAACCCTTATATTCTATGATTCTATGACCCGCATGAAAGACCCCCTAAGCTTATTCTTACCAGCTTCGGTTAAAAACTTCCCCAAGGTACAAACTTTGCCTTGTCCTTGAACAGTACGCTGCCACCACCAAGCGAAACAAAGAACAGGGAAAGAGCCCACTTGGAGACGTCTTTCCCCAAAATATCTCCCCAAGCCTTACACACCCCCTTTCCTGGGGAAGGCTTGATAATAATCCTCACCAATTTGTACAGGTGAACACAGACCCAAACCCTTGGATCTTAAGAACAATGAAAAATCAATCAGGTTCTTAAAAGAAGAATTTTAATTAAAGAAAAGGTAAAAGAATCACCTCTGTAAAATCAGGATGGAAAATACTTTACAGGGTATTCAGATTCAAAACACAGAGGATCCCCCTCTGGGCAAAACCTTAAAGTTACAGAAAACAGGAATAAACCTCCCTCTTAACATAGGGAAAATTCACGTAAAACAAAAGATAAACTAATCCGCTTTGCCTGTCTTACCTCTACTGGTTGCAATATTGGAGACTTGGCTTAGGATGGGTTGGAGAAGATGGATTTCTGTCTGGCCTCTCTGTCCCAAGAGAGAACAAACACGTAAACAAAGAGCACAAACAAAAGCCTTCCCTCCCCCACTCCCCCCACCCCCCCGATTTGAAAGTATCTTGTTCCCTTATTGGTCCTTTGGGTCAGGTGCCAGCCAGGTTATCTGAGCTTCTTAACACTTCACAGGTAACAGGATGTTGCCTCTGGCCAGGAGGGATTTTATAGCACTGTATACAGAAAGGTGGTTCCCCTTCCCTTTATATTTATGACAGCACCGTATATCTGTGTTGACCTAACGGGGTGGAAATCAATAAAATACAGGGATTTTTGGTGGTAGTTCAATCCACTTCCAGAATTTCTGTTGCAGCTACAGGAGAAGAAATCTGCTCTCATGTGCTAGGTAGCTTCAAGAGCCTTTTAAGTCCTGCCCCTTCACTCCTGGGCAATTCAACAGCCATTCTCTCTCTGACCTGTGGCTGCCACCAGTATGTACAAATGGGTACAGTGCACCTCAGCTGTAAGTCAATCAGGTGGTAACCAACATGGATGCAGTATTTCTATATATAGTTCCTCCACCAGTTGGGCAGGTGGGCTTCCCACATCTTCTGCCTAGTTGGAAGCAGCAACACCTTCTGTTCATCTTAGCCCCCAGCAGAGTTTCGGAACTGCAGGGGCCAGGGCAGGACAAAGGAAACCTCTTCCCAGAAAAACCAGGGAGGAAAGCCTGCTCCTGTGCCTCTGTCCTGCGGTGCTGGGGGGCAGGTCCATTCTGTTTCCCTCTCCCCCTGTGGCCTTGTGCCCAGTTGCTGCAGCCAAGCCTGGGCAAGTACTGAGCTGCTCTGACCCACACAGCCATGCTCCGTTGTAGTGGCCCGCACATGCACACTTTGTAGACAGCTCCCACATAATCCTGGACACCCAGGGAGAGGCCCTACAGGTGGACCAGAACTCAGGTCAGAGTTCATGCCGAGTCTTGGGTCTGCACTCCCAAGAGAGCCTCCTCCCTCAACACGTGAGCTCCCAGCCCCTCCTACCCTCCATCATCCCTGCCCTTTAAAGTCTCCACGAAGTTGGCTCTCAGTCCTCAGAGATCCCCCTCCTCACACACAGTTGCATCCTCCCCAGCATACACCCACATCAGCCAGGTAGCCTATTTGAATTATCGAGATGGGACCTGGAGCATTTCCCTCCAGTAGGAATCCAGCATCCTCTTGCACAGGGCTGACAACTAGCCAGGGTGCCTCACAGCCCTGCAGGGGCCTGGCTGTCTGAATCTTCAGGCAGATGGGCTGAGCCAGAAACACCTCCTTCCAGAGGGAATAGCCCCTTCACTAGGAGATTTTCAGTCCTGCTGCTGCCTGGTCCTGGTTTCCCTCAATCAACCTCTTCTTGTCAAGCTGCAGTTCCCTACTTCCCAGATACTGCAGTAGGTACCTGGCCACTCCCAAGGCCTGGGTGTAAGATGTCATGGGCGGAGGAGGTAGCTTACACCACCCCTTCCTTCTGTGACATTGGGTTGTGAAGAAAGCAGAAGAGAATTGGTGTTTGCGGAATCCCCCAGCCTCAGAAGGTCTATAGGAGCCTGATTTGCAGACCACATCTGGCTGTCCCCAGGTCTCAGTCTGTATCTACCAGACAGAAAAGACCATTCTGACCCTTTACTTGGCCCCATCCTTCTCATACTCAGGGCCTGACTCCCAAATGCTCCTTCCTCCTGAAGCTAGAGATCCTGGGCTTGGTTCTTATCACCCTTCCCCATTCCCAGACGAAGGGTTCTTTCTCCTTTGGCCATCCATAGGATTTTGGCCAGGAATTCGCTCTGTCCTGGAGCTCCCCCAGTATGGGTCTGAGGGAGGACTCTATGCTAGGTTTGATTCCAAGGCCGTAAGGGGACATTGTGATCATGTAGCCCAAACTTCTGTAAACACAGGCCAGAGAACTTCCCCAAAATAATTCCTCTTGAACTAGAGCAGATCTACTTCCCTAAGGGTCTCAGCTTCTACCCTCAGGGGCTCTGTAGGCAGCTTCCCAGTGGGGGGGCCGTGCCCTCATAACCAGATTCCTTAAGGCAGTATCTTACCTTAACCCCGCTGTTAAGTTACTCTTGGGGGAATTCTGTGCCAAAAAATAAATAAATTCTGTGCACAATATTTTAAAATTATGTGTATTTTATTTGTCAAAGTAACACAATATAATCATGCCAGTTTCAGTTGTTTTGGTAATTTATTTCGAAATATCTGTTAGCAAGTATGTTTGTAATAATGCGAACAACAAAAAAGATTCAGGATATGTTTTTTTGACAAATAGATTCCTCACTAGGCATATTAGTCAAGAACTTTGAGAAATAATTCATTTAAACTACAATATAGAAATTTCTTGCACCCCTCAGAAGCAGTGCAAAGGCTTGGGGAAGTCAGGGGTAACAGAGGAGCTGAGGGAGAGGGAAGTAATTTCTGGGAAGGAGCCTGGGAGTGAACATGGAGGGGTGAGGGTGGGAGAAGTATGGAACAGTTGGGTTTTTTTGAGGGGGGATTGTTAAGGAGCTGGAGAGCCTCCCCCATGCAGATTCTGCCTGACTCCTAGCCTCTCCCTTTCAGTCAGGCACATCTGCCCCATCCATGTGTCCCCCTCCCCTGTCCCCATGTGTCCTTGCACCCCTACTCAGCCACCTCTTCCCCCTATCCTCATGTGTCCCTAAACCCCACTCCCATTCAGCCCCTGTATCAATGCTATCACCCCACTAGCTTCTGTGCCCCTGCCTCAGTCTGTTCCCCCCACTAGCCCTTCTGAATCCCAGTCTGTGACCCCCCAGCAGCCCCATGTGCCCAGCTCTGTCCTTCCCCCCCATATCCTGTGTCTCCTCACCTGGCCCTGCGGGCAGAGCTCTCTGAGAAGGCAGCTTCTGCTCTCCTCCCTCTCTGTGGCTGGCTGCTCTGGCCCTGTGCTGGCTGCCCTCTCTTCTGGTGACACAGCAGCCCCTGGTGACTGAGACATGTAATTGTGGCGCCTCCCCGGCAGAATCTGTTTTCCGTGGGGACATGAATTTTGTGCATGCGCAGTGACACAGAATTCCCCCAGGAGCATTAAGTGTCTTGTGTCTTTTGGAGCCTAAAGGTAATGCCCTGCGCTCTGAGCGGTTTGACCCATCCTTGCTGTTCCACTCACTCTCTCAGTCTGGAAAGTGCCTGTTCCCTCAGCCTGGGGAGCCTTGGAGCTTATAGCTCCCTGAGTTCTCACTTCCACAAGGAGACACTAGCTCTCTGAACGAGCTGAAGCTTCCTCCCTGAGGTGGTCTTGGCCTTCCACCTTAACCAGGAGAGCTCAAGCTGTTATCCCACGGCCAGACTCAAGGTTGATTGCCCGTCTCTGGATGTCCCCCAGGTGTTTTGGATCAGCCTTTTTCAAAGTAAACCCTTCTGCAACACCATGTTCCTCTTCATGCTGCTTGAAGGGTCTCATAAAGGGATCATAGAATATCAGAATCATAGAATATCAGGGTTGGAAGGGACCCCAGAAGGTCATCTAGTCCAACCCCCAAAGGGATGAAGACTTCCAGAAAGATTCTTTGTCCTGGATCAGAGCCTGCAATTAGCATCCTCCCGTGCTGCCTGCCTCTTGCCCAGGAAAGGTTCAAACTCATTCTGCCCCCAGATTACCAGCAAGTGCATGCATTGGACCTAGTCTATGCACCCCATGCACATTTTATTAAAGTTCTCTTAGGGGTGCTCTCCGCAGCTCTTGTGATTCTAGTGCCCCCTGCCTGCAGTATTTAGCTTCATCCCATCGGCCTGTGGTCAGTCTATGGTGCAATGACACTGCATTGCACAGCAAGGGCTAAATTAATGTGAGCATTTAATCCTTGCGTCTTTCAGCCAGGTGTCACTGCAGCTGAGCACAAGTGCAGTCGCTTTTTTAACCAGCTTGGCTCCTTTGAATAATCTCTTTTCGACATTGCTTTTGGATGTGTAAATAGAACCGCCGGCTTATTTGAGAATTACCTGGTTTAAAATATGTTTATCATTGTGTGAGCTGTATATTCTGGTAGCTGGATTGCTGCTGTATTTATTTAGCTCAGTGGTTTTACTTGCATTTTTCTATTTAATTAGAAATGTTCAGAAGCATGTGGTCTCTTTTCAATAAAAGGGTTAATAGATGATTAAATTGTAGCTGTCTGTTTTGGTTGTAGATACAGTTCTATTTATATTTCTTTAAGATGGGGGTGAACCACTAGTATGGTAGCCAACTTGGTTGAACCTGACCCTGTGTATAACCTGGGGCTGTGCAAACAGCAATAAACCTGGCCATGTGGACAACCTTGTGAGTGAGAGGAGTTATAAGGCTGTGGTCAGGAAAGCAAATTCATTAATTAGGAGAAAGGAGAAGTACGTGGCGACTGGGTCTTTTTGTAATGTGCCTAGCACAATGAGGCTCTGATCTGAGTCTGTGCTAGGCGCTGCCGTAAAACCAACAATATAAGCCCCGTGGAGCTTACTCACAGCAGATGTCACATTCCTTCAGGGAGGATCTCACTGGCTTATTTCCTGCTAACTTTATGCCCATTTGGAAGCTGTAATTCCTGAACTGACTCTGACAGTGTTCCAAATGCTAAGATGGTCTTGTACAGCAAAAGGATTAAATGTATTCTGGAGTGGAAACATTAAACGAAACACTGTTCGTCAAGGGAGAGAGGGACTCAGAAAACAATTCCAGATAGACCCCAGCAAGTCCAGCAGTGGAGTAGGAATCCTAGGAGGGAAGGAGAACATACAAGAGGAGTGAGAGAAGAGAGGATAACCGGGAGTGGCTTCTTTTGTGTTTGGAGCTGGGACTGGGCTTCCCATCTAATGGTGATAGCATATGGGGCACTGGCCAAATCGATGTTCAGCCCGAACCCCGCAACCCAAAGTGACTCATGCCGCCGCACCTCTTGGTAGAGTGAGAGGAGATTTTGCCGCACAACCCCCCGACCCTCTTTTTTAGAAAATTGGAATGTAAGCAGTGTCCCCACCTGCTGTTCGCTTGTGCAGCATGTTGTGGCTGGAGAGGTCTCTAATGCTATCTCCTCCAACAAGTGCGCTCTGCTGCTGGGGAAGGGCAGCCCAAGGGAACCTGGGAGCCTGAAGAGTCTGATTGACCCAGAAATGTAATCAGCGGTTGACTCCTGCTCCAGGGCCAAACTAAGCCAGTTACAATGGTGCACTGAATCTTTAGACAGTTCTGAGAGCCAGCAATTTTAAAGTCTCCCTTTATTTCATAAACGAGTCAGAAAGGCACAAAAGGTTAATGCTCACCTCCCAGCCATAATGAGCAGCATCTGGGAGATGCAGGAGCTCATTATAAAGGCAGTGGCTTTTACCAGAAACGCTTGGCAAAAGCTGTCTTAAGGGTTCACTGCAGAGTTTTAAGAAGGCCGAAAGTCAACAGGCTTCTTTTATGCTAAACTGACAAGGCAGGAAACCTGTGAGATTATTTATACTGTGGTGAGAGTGGTGGCACCAGGTGAGCTGCACAGACACTCAGCATCTTGTCGATGTCAACTTGTGTTGACTTGTCGACCGCTGCCTGGGGTGGAGTTCCTGGGGAGCAACTCTCTGGATTATCGCTTTTTGTTCCTGAAATGAGATGCAAGACAGGTGGGTATCTGAGCTTACCTCCCAGGGCAGAAATGGGTAGGATGATTCGTTTTTGGAAGGAGAATGCCAGCTGGTGACTATTTCAGATGGGAACTGAAGGGGCTCCTCTGCTGGGAGAGTTTCTAATCTGTCTGTCTTAGGCCCTCTAGAATCTATGATAAAAGACAGACTGCTGTCAAATGGGGTGTAGTAGACCAGGTGCGTCCAGCTTATCTGGAACAGCTACAGCTGTAAATGGAACAAAAGTGGCAGGATCACGTCACAGGATCACATGGAGCTATGCCCTCTCCAGGGTGGGTCCCATGCCTGGAGGTTGTGCTGCCATTTGAGTGTCACTCAGCTGCACGTGCTGAAGCCCTAATGATGCTTCGCAGCTTCCTAGGCTAACGGGAAATTACTCGAACACAAAGAAGGTTATAGCCTGTGCCCTTCATACAGGAAACGGGCGGGTGTAAATTGTGCGCCCGTTCCCTTCCCCTCTCTTAGGTAACTTTGAACTAGTCCCTGGCACTGGCTCCTACATGATGGCTGTTGCTGAATCTGAGACGCAGGGGCAGACCCGTCCTGGCCTGCACAGCTGTGAGTGGAGTTAAAGCAGTGCTGAGCGAGATGCTAATGTTGCAGTGATGGGTTTCCCATCTGAGGCCGAGAGCTTCTGACCCAAACTCTGCCACTTCATATCTGCCTGAGGCACGGCCGGGACACAAAGGCTGGACTCACAGAACTCCCTGGGTGATTTACCGAGGGTAGCTCTGTGACTCTGCCGCAAAGCATCATCCTTAGGCCAGGCAGTAGGCGGCTGCTCTACACACCTTACGTCCACGAGAGCCGCCCAGCTCACTCCCTGACCATAGCTGGTCTCCTCTTCTCTGTCGTCTTCCCATGACTGCACTCCCCATTTCAGCCACACTGGCAGCAGCCTTTCCTCACGCTGCTCCTAAATCCCCCTGGAGCCTGGGTGCCATGAACCTCCCCGGCCCACCCACATCTTCTCTCTTCCATAGCTCTCCCCGAGTTACTGATTAAAGGGGCTAGAAGCATTTTAATGCTTCCCGTATATTTACAGGCAAAAGGGAGACTGAGGCATGGTGCCTGTGTCAATGTTGCTCGGTGCTGTGGACCCCCCCCACCCCCTCTTGTGCAAGGGCAGCTTTCCCAAAGATCTTCTGTAGCGCCCGCAGGAGGTCTGGGCTGGACACAGGAGATGGGTGCTCTAGCCTGTGCTGTAGGAATAAACAGGAGCTGCTGGTTCAGGGGTTGCCCAGGGTGTGAGGGTGTCTTCCTGTCCTCAGAAGGTCACGGGTCCTTTTCCCAGACATGTGCTAGTCAGGCCTGTGCCTCTCTGAGCACAGCGAGGGAGCCCCTCTTGGTGCAGATCTAATTGTGGGGCTGGGCAGGGCCAGCCTGGCTCTTCCTCGGACCAATGCCCCACACGCCATCCCAGAGCAGACACACAGGCTGGCTGTACCTGCCCCAATGGATCATTTCCCTGCTACTACCCACCAACTAAGAGCATCTGGCCTCATGTCTCCCGCAGGGGGGAGTTCTCATGGTCCATCCCAGGGAGCAGTGAGCCCTCTGCCCCCAACCCCTCCGAGCGCTGGAGCAGGTTGGGCCTGTCTCTCAGTCTGCATTGAAACCACCCCGCAGCGCCATGGCCTGGCCTTTTCCTGCCCACTTGGTAATGGGGAGAGGGGGGAGCATGCTTCATTGCAGCTCTGCTGCCACCAGCATGCTCGCAGACCTGGAGCATTTCACTTGGGGGCAAGGGGGCGGGCGAGGGAATGACCCCCTGGCCTGTGATCAGCTCTTCAAACAAGGGTTCCACTCAGCCTGGGCCACACCCTCAGCAGGGAGCAGAGAAGAGCTCTTCTGGGCTCAGAGAAAGGCGAATCAGTTATTTGGGGCTGGAGGAGCAATTCTTCCAGCTTCCGAGGGGATGTGATGCAGGGTGTGGGGGAGGCTGTAGGCTGAGGAAATCCTAACCCTCAGCAGCTCTTCCAAGCAGGCAAAGCGTTTTGACTGTTCTCCCCTCCTTGCAAAGGTGCTGCCCCACCATGCAGGGAGTTGTCATCAAAGCAGCCGGAAATCGGTATTAATGTTTACAAAACACCAACCAAACCTGCAGAGCGTCCCTGGGGGAGGAGCTGCTGGCTGGCAGAGAGCTCTGCACACTGGACGGTGCAAACAGGTTTCTTTCTGCCCTGGCTTGCTCAAGAGCTAGTGGTTTTCAAAGGGGGTGGGGTGGGACCCCGCAGGGGGTTGTGAGGTGACTACATGGGGGGTTGAGCTGTCGGTCTCCACCCCAAACCCCTCTTTGCCTCCAGCATTTATAATGGTGTTAAATATAAACAAGTGTTTTTAATACATAAGGGGGGGTCGCACCCTGAGGCCTGCTGTGTGAAAGGGGTCAGCAGGACAAAAGTTTGAGAACTACTGAACTAGGGCCTGGCCCACCCGGCCTCATGGGGAGCAGTGGAAGCTCGCTTCAGCAGCAGTGACAGGGCCCAGCCTGCACGGGTACCGAGAGCGACTCAGCCAGAAGCCGCAGTGTTCCAGCCCTGGGACGGAGCAGATCACACACGGCGCTGCCAGCTGCTCGGGGAAGCCCAGTGTGCTCAGGCAGGATGGAGCATTCTCTGTGCCCAGAATCAGTCCACAGGCCCCTCACTGCTGGGCTGTCCCCACAGAGGGGAACCCGGCTACCTGATTGTGTCTCACAGCATTCAGTCCATAAGCTTCCCAGTGGGTCCCCACTTCACGCTGAGCAGCACGGTGCAGTTCTTAGGACACAGGACTGGGAAGTGAGAGACCTGGACTCTGCTCCTGGCTGTGCCTCAGGCCTGTTGTGGGCCCTGGGACGAGTCACTTCACTTCTGGGCACCTGTTTCCCCCATGATAGAAGAGGTGATACTCGGCCTGCGTTGTGAACCAGCCAGTAGCGCTGTAGGCGTGAGGAAGTCTGGAGAAGGCTGTGGGTTCTGGTGATGTTACTCTCCAGAGGTAAGTGGGGCCCAGACTAATTCCTGCCCCTGCCCCAACCCCCTGCTTCCCCAGCTCATGGAGCGTTGGGGCCAAAGGCAACTGGACAGCAAGGAGGGTAAAGCTGGGTCAGGCGGCCTGGCCCTGTCTTAGTGGGATCAGGTTTCCCTCAAGGTCAGGGCAAGTTCTGCCAGCGCTATCCAGCTGGGGCCGTCCTCAGCCGCCTAACGGGGCAGAGGATTCGAAGTGTGCCCACAAACCCAAGGGAGGAGCCCCTGGGTGGAAAAGGGGTGGTAACGAGTCAACATACACACACAGCACTGTGGGCTGCCCCTCGCTCTCCACAGGACAGAGCTGGGCTGCCCCAGAAGGAACAGCATGAGCCCCCCCATACTTTAACCCCCTTCTTGCCTCATCCCATGTGTCCCTGGCTGGAAGCCACCCTTTCTTGGAGCAAACTGCTGTGTTAGCCCCCAGCAATTGCTAGTCTGGTGGCTGGGCCCAGGCCCAGAGCCACAGCTCCTTCCCTGTTACCTGCGTGGTGAGACTCTTTTGACTCCTCAGTGTCTGCCCTGTCTGGGGCTCCCACAGCATCCCCCAGTACAGCTGTCCCTGGTGTGTCGCTCTCATCCTCCGAAGGGCTGTTCAGCTCCGGGTTGTCATAGTTTATGTACTGGTATAAGGGTCGCAAGCGCTGTGGTCTCCCTAGCGGGGTGATAACACCACCGCTGTAACACACAGTACTCTACACCCCAGCCTCCCAGCCCAGGCCCTCAGGGCACCTCCCCAACGCACTGCAACAAAGCCTCGTGGCCCCAGGGAAGAGCATGATCCCTGGGCTACAGAGGGGGAAACTAAGGCACAGGGCAGGGGAGGGACTTGCCCAAGATCACACAGTTCAGCAGTGACCACTCTCGCAAAGGAGGTTGGTTCTGTGGCGAAGGCTCCAATCTCAGACTTGGGAGACCTGGATTCAGTTCCTGGCTCTGCTGCAGACTGGCCGGGTGCCCTGGGGCAAGTCCGTCAGTTCCCCATCTGTGCTCTGGGGATACCAACCCTTCCATCCCCCACTTTGGTCTGTCATGTCTAGTTAGACTCCGTGCTGGGACTGCCTCCCTCTGTGCCTGGGAAGAGTCTGGGGCGATGGAACCCCAATCTCAGGCGCAGCCTGGGGGTGCTATCACCATAAGGAGAAGCTGGGGTATGTGGCAATGGGGGAGTCTCTCCTGGCTGAATCCTCTTTGGGGGCCAGCCCTAGGAAGGGCAGCAAGGCTCTTGGAGCATGATTGCCTTGGGGGCCCAGCTCTCTGAAGGGGAGCCCTCCCTGGGCTGGAAGAGCTCAGAGCTGGTGGTGATGGAAAGACACCAGGGAGGAGGAGGAAGAATGGAATCTGGCACTGGGGCTTGGCCCTTATCCCCTTGGAGGGCACCTGCTTGTATATATTTGGAGAGAGGCAGGACTCGCCCAATCTGTACAATGGGGTCTATGGGGAGGAGGAAGCAGACCGGGCCCCAGCTCAGCGATCAGGCTGCTCCTTAGACCTGAGGCCAAGGCTGGCAGGTGGAGGATGTCAGGCACGCACACAGCCTGATCGTGTAAGGAAACCGCTGCTGGGGACAACAGTCACCCGGACTCCACAACACACACACAGAGTCAGGGAGCCCAGCCTGGAGCTCTTGCCTGTCTATCCCCAAACCACAGGTCTTTGCTACCTGAGCTACAGGAGATCCCCTTTAGCTGGTAGCACTAGCAGGGCCATTATCTTTTCTGGGGGCCAACCTACCTTGCCCTAAGCCGGCCCACCATACTGCCATAGACGGCACCACAAAGGCACCGGCGTGCACTGAGAAGGAGGATGCCTGCTGCCTCCCACAGGTACAACGAGAACAGCGAGCACCGCCGTTGCGCCGGGAAGGGGGCTGTGCGATTCTTTGGTGGTGCATCGTGTGCACTTACTGTCCGTGCGCAGTGTGTCCGGGGGCAGAGCCGCTGCCATGCTGGCTGCAGAAGCAGGGAGGTCTGACGAGCTTTTCCTTTTCTTGGCTTTCTTGTGCTGCCTGGTAGCGAGGGGAGAGTCCACCTCCCCTGCCTTGGGAGGCAGCTTCCTGAAGTCAGCGTGCTGGAAAACAGGTACTGCAGGATCAGCCCTGTGGAGCAGAACCAGAGACAAGGGGACAGTGGGTTTGAGCTGCTGGGCAGAGGGACAGCAGCCCCTGGCAGGGCAGAAGCGTCCCCTGCTTCCCACACAACCTGCACCAGTGCCAGGAAACTTCCAGAAAACAAGCTTACCTTTGGGCTATTTTGACTCCTTCTGGCCCTCCGCAGGCTGGGAGAGTATTTCCCGGGGGGCTTGGGCAATGCTGCTCCTGTCTGAAGCTCGAGGCATCACAGCTTGAAATGCTCTGCCCTTAGCCCTTGATGAAGATGGAGAAGTAGGACCTCGCCCCTTGTGCAGATGGGGAAGCTGAGGCAGAGAGCGGGGCAGTGACTTGCCCAGGGTTGTGCCCAAAGTCAGTGGCAGAGTCGGAAGAGAAGAGAACCCAGGACTCACATTCCCAATCCCCTCTGACCTAACTGCGAGAGAACAGTTTATAAATTAACCCAACCCTTGCTGAACCTTGCGCTGGCTTTGTATCTTAGGAGAGGGTCAGGGCAGGTCTGCGTTTTAGCCAGCCTGCTTTATGCAGCCCTGGTGCGGCTGCCTCCCATAGCCTTGGTGCAGCTCTCCAGCGGGCTGGCATGTTCCGCTGTCTCTGCCCTCTCCTCTGGAACGGTGGGGAGAGGCTTCACCAGGCACGCCCGACGCATGCGTCTGCATTGCAGAAGCTGGTCATGGCGAGCTGCCAGGCTGCAGTGCAGCTGAATCCTACTCTGGACGCTGGAGTTACCTTGAGATGGTCCCAGAAGGGATGCTGGTTAGTAGAACCTGTTCTGGGTCCATTTCCTGATGTGTTATTAATGGGACTGAAGCTGGTATTATTTAATACGGTCATGTTCTGAGAACACAGAACAGCCACAACTGCTGTGCCAGCTTCCCCTGCCGTGCCCAGCCGCCGTGCTCAGCCAACGTGCCACAGGCCCGCTCGGAGGGGAGCCCCTCTAAGGCAGCTCAGTCTCTGCTCCATTCAGCTCCTGGATCCTCATCTGGAGGCTGAGGCCTCATCTGGAGTACTGTGTCCAGTTTTGGGCCCCACACTACAAGAAGGATGTGGATAAATTGGAGAGAGTCCAGCGAAGGGCAACAAAAATGATTAGGGGTCTGGAACACATGACTTATGAGGAGAGGCTGTGGGAGCTGGGATTGTTTAGCCTGCAGAAGAGAAGAATGAGGGGGGATTTGATAGCTGCTTTCAACTACCTGAAAGGGGGTTCCAAAGAGGATGGCTCTAGACTGTTCTCAATGGTAGCAGATGACAGAACGAGGAGTAATGGTCTCAAGTTGCAGTGGGGGAGGTTTAGATTGGATATTAGGAAAAACTTTTTCACTAAGAGAGTGGTGAAACACTGGAATGCGTTACCTAGGGAGGTGGTAGAATCTCCTTCCTTAGAGGTTTTTAAGGTCAGGCTTGACAAAGCCCTGGCTGGGATGATTTAACTGGGAATTGGTCCTGCTTCGAGCAGGGGGTTGGACTAGATGACCTTCTGGGGTCCCTTCCAACCCTGATATTCTATGATTCTATGATCCTCTGCTGGGTGCCAGCTGTGGTGGGTATGAGCCCTGGCCACCAGTCTTGCTGGCTCATGTCGGAAAGGTCATGCAGCAGCCATCAGTGGGTCCTGACTTTGGGTCAATACTGACCTGGACTGGGTTCGACTCTCTGTCTCTGAGACAAGAGGGTTCAGGACTCCCAAGCGACCCAGTGTCCATATGCCATTGCGCTAAAGACAACAAACACTTTCCCAGCTGTCCCTCCACCCCTCCTGCCACCAGGCCTGGGGGCTGAATGAATGGTGCTGTCACAGGAATGGCTGGGACATGCCAGGCTGGCCTATGACCATCCCATCCTTCCAGTCCTAGCATAGACTGGAGGCTCTCCCATGGTGAGAGATGGCAAACCCTGTAGGAACATACACGTGCAAAGCCCATCCACAGGTCCAGCAGCCTCTCTGTACCAGGGCCCAGCGCAAAGGGCTGGCGCAGAACACTGACAGCCCCACAACAGGGCAAGTCAGGGCCTGCCAGCCCCTGCAGGATCCCCAGAAGGGCCTGTTTGGGGCGCCAAGCCCAACAGCTCCCTTTCCCCCCACAAGAGGAGCAGCAAGCAGCAGCTGGCAGGAGCCTTCACAACCTGGCATCATCATTCACTCAGCTCCAACGCCCTGTTGCTGCATTACCCTTGGGTGCTGGTGTCCCCCACCTCTCATTCTGGCCTCTGAGATTCTCATCTCCTCCCTCCCCCCGTGCCCACTCCCTGCCCAACTTCAACCCCCAGTGCCAAGCTACTTAATTCTCAACAGAACACAGGTCTGAGCCAGTGTGTAACCAGGCCTGGCACTGGGACGCCATGTGCTGGCCCCTGCCCTAAGCCCTTTGTGCATGAGTTAGGGCCCTGGTCCCAGCCTCTGTCTCAGCTCTTTGCAGGTGGTGAGCTCCTGGGAGCCAGAGGCTAGGCCTCGCCATTTGGTTGGCGCCCGTGGCACACTGGGGTATGATCCCACTGCAGTTTGATGCTAGTAATACAGCCCACAGGGGACCCTCCAACCTACTTCACTGCCTTTGCTTTAAAGCCAGAGGTCAGCAGCCATGCCTGGAGCACGGAGACAGATCGCAGGGGTTTCAGCTCCGGAAAGAGCTCTTTGTGCTTCTGACCTTCTTCATCGTACAGCTTGGTGTTCACAACCACTCCTTGCCCGTCCTCGTCCCACTAGGGAGGGAGACAAAAGTTACTGCTTGGGAAGCGTAAGATGAAAGTAACACTTAGCGGCGGCAGTGCCTGGCCCAGATGCCAGCTCTCAGACCAGCCCCGCGGCAGCCCGTTCTGTGCTGCTCCTCTGGTCCTGGAGGGGAAGCTGAGCTTCGCATTGAACACGTGGCTGGGGGTTTCTGGACTGTGAATTGCTTAAGCTACGTTTAAAATCCATCTGCATAAGAGATCAGGCGTCCTTGGACCTGTGCTGTGGTACAGAGCCTGCCCCCACCAGGCCATAGGACCGGCTAGCAACAGGACCTACATGGCAGCTTGAGGCCCGTGTGCTGCAGCTCGGAGCAAACGCTGGGTTCTGTGGTGTTAGACATACGCAAAGGTAGGATACAATAATTTCATGGTAGGATGCCAGGGCTCTGTGCTGCTATGAGACAAACAGCATGGGAGTGAGACTGCTGCTGAACAGCAATGCTGCGCGGTCAGCTACTGAGGCAGGACAATGCAAGGGAGGCAGGTCAGCTGTAACTATCAAAGTCCCCTTGTAATGGGAACCCTGGGCAGGGTCTCTGGGGCAGGAAGGTGTCAAAACAGCCAGGAGAAATGTGAGCCCCAAATTACCCAGCTGGTTTTTCACACGAATGAACTGGAAACTTTGAAAATCATCATTTTGGGGCCCACTTCTTCTTGTTAAATCTCTCGCAAGGACGAGGTGGAAATGTAACAGAACTGGTAGGTTGCCTTTCTGGGACACAGCCCCTTCCCCAGGGGAGACGAGCTGGCTTCCTCAGGGCCTGGCCACGTCTCAGCCCCACACCGCGGCTGGAGGAGACGCATTCCCCGCTCCCCATGCGCCTGGCCAGAGCCCCTTGTGAACATGCCTGCTTCAGGCAGCCGCAGCTCTTGCAAACGTGCCTGTTCCATTATGGCTCGCATTCTAAAAGTGCAATCGTTCTTTACCTCCAGCGCCTTGATGGTTGGATTGTTCAGTGCAGCTGCCAACTGGGAGAGGAAGCGTCCGGGCACAGCCTTCCCCACAGGCCTCTTCTCGCTTGGACTCCTTGCTGCAGTGGCCATTGCCTGAGAACAGGGCAATCAGTGACATCAGATACTGGTGCCTGCGTGCGCACTGTGTTCAGCATGATTTGATCTGCTGTCTGATAATGATGCTTAGCCCTAGATCACTGAGCACTCCAGGCAGGGTTGTGTCCGTAGCCCCCCCAGCCTGGGGGCAGGCAGATCAAGCTTCACAGAACTCACCCTGTGCCCCTCTCACAAGACCCCATTACAGCTAGCACAGGTGAGTTCTGGCCACCTAGCAGCATCTTTCACAGCAAAACTGAATGTGAATTTGGGCATCCACAGCGGCCAGGCCAGCCAGCTGTGTTGCAGTGAACTATGGGAAAAGCTGGGCGACTATCCCATAATGCTTCAGCAGGGGAGTGGATGCCCAGAAGACATGCACCCAGAGCAGTGCACTGTGGGATGTCACAGTACTGGGAGGAATGGCTGACACTCCAGTTGCACAGATGCAGTGAGGGGGGGCCATTCCTCATGGCAAAGATCACCAGGGAGCCAAGCCTGTGCCAGCCCAGGCTGCTGCCAGGGGCATAGATGCCACAGTCACTGAGGGTGACCCAGGCTATGTGCAGACACAAGCTATGTTCGGAGCAGAGCAGGCCCTAGACCACTTCCAAACTCAGCTAAGAGCTGCACATGGACAGGTGCCCAGTCTCCTGCCTCGGATAACAACTGGCAATGGTCCCAAGGGCTTGGATTCTCAGTTCTACCAAGACCCCTTTACACCTCATGGGCAGTGTCAACGGGCCACACGGTGGGTGTCAGTTATGTCTGAATGCGCTTTAATGACACCTCATGCTGCCACGGGGCTCACGGGGCTGGTATAAATGAGAATAAGGACCATAATTTATTTGCAATGAATAATCCCACCAGCTCAGGCGGGCGATGCGATAGAAAGATCAGGTCACATACAACGGTTGCTCCTAGGGTCTGAGCATGGTTCGTCTGACCAGAGCAGACAGAAATTTTAATGCTATAAAAACCCACTTGGCAAGAATCCCCATCCAGGTTCCCAAGTGAATGAACCCACTTGAATGATCGTTTCACCATACAAATGCAGTGTCCTCGCTCTCACGGCTTTAACCAGAGCTGCCTGATGATTGGAGGTTTTTCTTAACCACCTGGGTCTACAGTCCTGTGAATGCATAGAACCTCAGCTTTTGTTTTCTGAAGAATGGTTTTAGCCTTCATGGTTGCAGAGAAAACCCTGGAAATGGGAACCCAACAGGTTCTGCTGGCAAACAGAAAGCCCAGCACTCCAAGCCACGCTCTTATTCAAATCTCTGACTTAGAAGGTTGGATCCCATAGGTCTGGAGGCCTGATTCATGCTTTCTGAACATGAGGGTTTGGCAATGCTGGGCATGCTGAAAGCCCTTCCCATCTTCTAGTCACCAAGTACCTGACCAGGAGGGCCCAAACCAGGGAAGATTAGCAGGGTTCAAATATTTGACTTTCAACTCTGAGCCTCAAATGCTTTCCACACAGGTCAGCTCAGCTTTACCAGCGCTCTTTATCCCATTGGGTGTCCCCCATGCTGTGAGATTTACATTCAGTCACATCAAATAACCCTAACTATGAACTCCTCATCTCCTAGCCCTGGGGAGGAGGGGACCACACTCTGGTGCTAGGAATCTGTGCCGCCGTTGGTTTCTGTGCCCTGCAGCTTTTACGCTGCAAGTCTACAAACACTCGCTTGCAGACTGCAGTGGGACCACCCACAGCAATCCAGGTAAGCCCACGTGCAGGTGTTGGCAGGATCAGGGCCCAAAACGACCTCAACTCATCCTGCAGCTGTTTGTCTCCCTGTGCTGCTGCAGCCTATTCCCGGGGATGCCCACACTGCGCTCTCCCATGGAAATGTGTCGGTGTTCTCTAGCGTCAGGGCTTCCTTAATCTAAACAAGGCACTGTTCAGACCGCAAGCACAGGGCTGCTCTATGCATGGATTGAGAGGTGTCTTTGGCACTGGGCTTGGTAGCGTAACACCGACCCATCCAGGAGGATCATACCTGGGCCCTCTGGAGCTAAATGCATGAATCTCCAGCTGGCCTAGCCACCACTAGAGGGGGACAGGGCAAGTAAGCCGGGGTTACGGTACCAGATCTGGGCCCCAGGCAAACCATAAATTAATAAACACACCCGCTTAGCAGAGCGTAGCTAAGCCCTCACCCGGCTTCCAGAGCGTCCCGGTGTGCTCCTGGGGGCCATTCCCCCTGCAACCCCGCTGCGAACCATTGGTTCCTTTCCCTGCATCGGTGTTACATTTCCGCCTCTCGGCCCTAGGGCTCGCTCGGAGCATTTCCCAGGGTTGGTACATGTTCCCTGCTCATTTCAAGCCTGCAGGTTTCACAGTCTCATGGAACTTGACAACATGGACTTTCCCCCACTGCCAGCCAGCGGGTGTCCGGCCTAACGTTCCCCCCACTGCCAGCCAGCGGGTGTCCGGCCTGGCACCTCCCCCCCACTGCCAGCCAGCGGGTGTCCGGCCTAACGACTTCCCCCCACTGCCAGCCAGCGGGTGTCCGGCCTAACGACTTCCCCCCACTGCCAGCCAGCGGGTGTCCGGCCTGGCACCCCCCCCCACTGCCAGCCAGCGGGTGTCCGGCCTGGCACCTTTCCCCTCTGTTGGCCCAGCACCTTCCCCCTCCCCTGAAGCCAGTGGGTGTCTGGTCTGGCGCCTACCCCCCCGACCCTGCAGCCGGCGGGCATCCAGCCTAGCAGCCGGCGGGCATCCAGCCTAGCAGCCGGCGGGCATTCTGGGTGGCCGAGGCTGAGTGTGAAACCGACCTCAGGCCAGAGCTGCAGGGTTTGGTCAGACACACCCACACACGCCCCAGTCCAAGGCGCAGGCTGATCCCCTGGGAGGGAATTGCCCAGCACGCCATGCATGGGCCCAGCGGGTCGTGCTGCACAAACACACCTCAGGGCTGCAGGTTCACTCTCGGCAAGAGGATGCCTGCCAGCCCCACCCTGTGGGGGAGAGCAGCCAGTCAGAACAGCTGTAAGAGCCCCAGGAGCCGAGCAGGGGTTTTGAGTGGAGGGAGGAGCCTATGCCGTTATGGGGGTCGTGGGGGCCAGAAAGAGCCAGGCAGCTCAGGGTGGCTCTGCCCCCTCCCCTCTCGAGGGAGCAATGGACTAGTATGCTGCCCCCTCCCCCTGCATCCCTGTGACACCCAGCCTGGTGGGGTGGGGCGGGGTGAAGAGCCCCTGCAGCTGGAGGAACAGCAGAGGCAAGCCAGCAGTGGACCAGCGCCGGGCCAGATACTTGGGAAAGTGCTGTGGGACTGCTAGCCCATCAGGGAGCACCCTGGTCTCCATGGCCGTGGATAACAGGGAGCCTTGTTGAAGCACATGACTCTGCAGATGAGCTCTGCTCTATAGACCTTTTGGGGTGCATGGGTCTTTGCAATCTCCATGCCACGCAGCTACGAGACAATGCAGACCATGACCAATGGGGCTTATTGACGGCCTTTGTTGGGCGTTTTGGGGTAGGAATGTACTTTGCCATGATCCGACAACACACACTGGATGTGTAGCGCTGATCAGGTCAGCCCATATGCTCTGTCTTGCCTTTTTGGTTAAACAACACTGTTAGAGAGCTTATTCCTTCACTCTCCCACTTCCCTGGTCCTTCTCGCATGAACAGAGAGCAACAATACCTGAAGTCCGAAGGTGCAAACAATTCAATGTTTATTGGGGTGAACCTCCAGCAAGCTTAAATACAAGTTCCTTTTCCTTATTTTCGAATCCCAACTTACTTCCTGTTTGCCCCTAATTTATATAGTAATATTCTTAGCTATACCTTAACCAATCATTCTACTGAAATTTAACTAACCAATCCTAACATATTGTAACATGATTAGCTAACCAATTATATCCCACCACCTTAATTAGTTTACAACCAGCAAAATTAATTATACAGCAGACAGAAACAATCACAGAACCAGACAGAGACCATGCCAATAAACAATAGCAAAATGGGAACTATAATGACAAAACAATACAGAAGTGAGGATTTCACATCCCAGTATTGATAAGTGAGTTCTTGCCAGACAGGATGCTATCAAACTAAGTTTCCTTTTACACCTTCTAGGCACTTCCCTTTCTCTGGAGGCGATAGGCACTATCAGGACAGGATTGTATTCCTAACAGCCCAATAGCACCTGATTTCAATGTGACTAGTTTGGAATGTGAGGATGTGACCGTTCACTTCCCAGCTTATGGCTGCCTCTGTCGCTTAGCCAAAGGCCTTAGCCTAAGACCAGGTCCTTAGACTGTCACAGTAAGAGAAGGACCTTACACTGGCAGACAGTGATTTTGATTCTTTCTTTTATACCTCTATAACTAGCCAAGTGATAAGAATACACCTAAATTCTTAAAGTACAGGCCTTTGCAGACAGGCCTGAATATCTATCCTAACAAACACCGGGGTCAGATGTGGTATGTAAACCATTCTCAGACCTGCCCTGGGAACGAGGGGCATTTGGTGCTGAGATGCTGCCTTGAATTCCCTGTGCTCTGTGCCACCAAAACTGCTGCTCTGGAGCTGTCTCCACTGCACTGCTGGTGGCTTTCTGGTGTCATTTCGCTGGTGTCTTTTCACATAAGGTCTGTCATTAGCTGCATTGTTATCATAGAATCATAGAATAACAGAGTTGGAAGGGACCTCTGGAAGCCATCTAGTCCAACCCCCTGCCCAGAGCAGGACCAATCCCAACTAAATCATCCCAGCCAGGGCTTTGTCAAGCCCGACCTTAAAAACGTCTAAGGAAGGAGATTCCACCACCTCCCTAGGTAACGCATTCCAGTGCTTCACCACCCTCCTCGTGAAAAAGTTTTTCCTAATATCCAACCTAAACCTCCCCCATTGGAACTTGAGACCATTACTCCTTGTCCTGTCATCTGCTATCACTGAGAATAGTCTAGATCCATCCTCTTTGGATCCACCTTTCAGGTAGTTAAAAGCAGCTATCAAATCCCCCTTCATTCTTCTCTTC